GGCGATTATCCCCGGAGAAACTGCGTGCTGTAAAAGCCGAGTTCGAACACATGCTTGAAATGGGAATAATCAGACCATCCAACAGTCCATGGTCTTCACCCTTGCATGTGGTACCCAAGAACAATGGCATGGACTGGAGGCCTTGTGGTGACTACCGAAGGCTCAACGCTAAAACGATTCCAGATCGTTATCCAGTCCCTCACATTCACGACTTGACTGCATCTTTAAAAGGCTCGGTTATCTTCAGTAAGCTTGACTTGACGCGTGCATACCATCAGGACCCGGTTCATCCTGATGATGTTCCATTGTGCTGATCACCACGCACGTACTCCGAGTCCCTAGTTTAGCCTGACAAGCCAGATAAGTTGATTAAACTTTTCCCTCATTCATTATTATAACATTTACCTTAAATACATTGCGTATCAGTTCTTTTGATTTGTGTTTTGTTACCAGTACTTACACGTTAGGTAAAGTACTGGTTAAGCAGGTACTAGAGCACATCAAATTAAGTAGGGTTGGTCAATGGTTACGGAATTGTAACACGCATCCCTACAAGCTCATGGGGATATATACATAGTCTCCCTTTTCTTTTGATTGCATCATCTCTTAATTAATTACTCATCGACTGTTAATCACTCAAAGATTTTCCTGTTTTAAGGTAGTTACTTAACCTATTAGCTCTTAAACAGTCTCTTCTTTTATAGTAATTTCTGCCTGTTGTCCGCCCCCCACACACACACACTCCACAGCTCCAGAATTTTCTGTCTCATCAGATATAATTTACCATAGATTTTGACTGAGATATGTAACTATTAATCCTGTGTTTCGTTGACTCACCATCTGATTGTTAATCCTGGATTTCAAATCTCCATTTATTTCCACACGTTTAAAGTATATTATGCCATTATCACTACCAATACTTCACTTCAATTGTAGGCTGTTTGCAGCTGATGAAAAGCCATGAAATAAAATGAGATCATTTTATTCTGCAAATGTCATTCTTCATGCATTGTTCAAACTTATTGTTTATATACAGTTTTCCCTCAGAAAATAAATCCATTCGATCAGAAGTTTGATACTTATTTACATTGGTCAACTGAAGGACAATGTTATCCAAGAAGGTTTTCCTTATTCACACAGTAAAATGTAACAAGGCTGAAATGTACAACTTCTGTCTTAGCAGCTGATGACTTAGAATGGTGATTTTAATTTAAACTGATTCCTATCAGAACTAAATACTTCTCTGGGAACATATATATATATATATATATATATATATATATATATATATATATATATATATAATAAAGCCATTTAAGCGAACGAACCACGAATATTCTCTTCCATAAAGTCTTCCCCAGGTCCATATTGTATGATATCAATCCAACAATATTGAAATTTCACTTATTAGTTTATTAGTAATGTTATACAGTTGAGGAAATCACTTTAGAAAAGTCTTATGTGAACGTTAATTTTAGAATCAATTGTTACTGGAATTCAATTCCAAATAACTAATTATCTAGGCGAGTATATGGCTTATGTAATACTATAAGGTGATAGTTTAATAAAACAATAAGAAGGTGGATAAGGAAGTTGGATACAATAACTGAAAAAGATAATTTGACAGATAATAACTTGATAGAATGTTATTCATGTAAGGGAATAAACTATGTTAAGAAAATGTGACGGAATTATTTTATATCATAGGGATGAAAGGATATCAACAGTATGGAATTAGAATATTAGATTACCTGGAGTAGGATGTGTATGAATTTATGCTTCCCGAATCTGACCAAGGTAATTGTAGCGACAACACTTATTTTATTTTGACTAGAAAAATAGTTATGGGAAATTTAGAACGGCAAATGACAATGCCTATTTTGATGCTGTTGCTTATTTTAAACCCCTATAAACAGAAAGGGATGAAAACAAATCTTGTGAAGTTTCTTCCAAAATATTAGATTTTTCAGAAACAATTGTTTGTTGAAATCCCTTTCCATCCACAGCAACATCACAAGATTCATTTTATGCAGTAAGAATTTCATGGACAACTTGAATTCTTTAATCATAAAGAGATTAATTCACGGTAAACAATAATAAAAGTCTAGCTGGATTTCGCTACATTTACACAAGAAATATATCAAGAACAAAGAATTATAACTTCTTCAGATTATTTTTATTATGTACACCAGTACTATTGATCTGGAAATTATTTTCGACGTGAAGTCATCACTTGAGAAATTTCATTTCTTGTGGCAATATTCGCTCAGTGATAAACCTGTGTTATATTTAAGTTTTACTTGTTATTAGTTATAAAAAGGATAGGGATTATGCTTAAAGTATTTCATGTTAATTAGAACGTTGGCAGAATGATGACAATTTTATGGAACTAACTGTTCCTGAAGTGTAAAAGCATCTCATAACTAAAATATTATTGTTATTATTGCATCTCACACTCATGACATAAACTGATTGACTTCAACAAATTGAAACGCTTAAAATCCTTCATCAACTTTCTTTACTCCTTGAAAAAAACAGATACACTTGCAACGGTAATCTCTTGATACGTTTTCGTCTAGCTAGTAGCTAGGTAGGCAGGTAGGTACCTTGTTGCAAGAGGGAGCATAGAGCAGTGCGAGTTCAATGGTATTCACAAGAATCCGAAAGGGAAAAGAGGAGGAGAAAAAGGTGGTCCGACGATTAAACATGTACACAGGATATACTTATATTTAATAATGCAAGATAACCAAGAGAGCTTGACAAGGAAGAGGTGAGGCAGTCTAGAAATGGAAACTGGAACGTGAAGGAGTAAGATACCGAATCCGTTGCATTACTCTCCCTTTCTCGGAGGCTGGTGCTAGTTGCATTCGAGTGGATGCCTGTTGCTGAATATATATCGGTCTGACCATGAGCGAGCCGAATCCGACCTCTGACGCCAAAATGCAAGGACCAACTGTTGATAAGTTTTCATCCAGCTTGTAGGAAGGCAGGTACGTTGTTGCAAGAGGGGGGCGTAGTGGTGATTACAAGAATCTAGAAGGGAAAAGAGGAAGAGAAAAAAAGGTGAACCAACGACTCAGCAAGTACACACTGTTGGAATGACTGGAGAGATTTTGCTATCAGAAATTTAGATAAGTGTCTGAGAGTGGCGTTACCAGTGCAACAGATTTATTTTTCGTCCATCTAAGTGGGATAATACTGAAATAACTGCATAGAAAGACTGGGGAAAATCGACGTTATGATGCTGCAAGTGGCTTACACTTAGGACTTATCTAAAGTTTAAATTTCTTTTAGTCAGTTCTCCAGGAGATTAATTTGAGTTTATTTTCAATCAGTTTAGCTTGGGTTTTCTTATATGAAAAATCCTATATGTTTAACAACACTAGTGTTAGGTTACAAAGCCATTTTTCAAAGAAAATATTCGGCCAGTTTTATCTCTGAAGTAGGCTTTCCTTGCACAAATTAGCACATGGACTGAGAACATGATGAAAATGAGCAGAATAGCTATGATTTTTCTTAGTCTGCGAAAAAATTTTCTGAATTGTAAATGACATTTTTTTCGTATACAGTACAGGTTTTCCTATATGGATGGCAAGAGCTTCGGGAATGTAGGGAATACGAAGACAAATAGCCTTTGGGAGGTTCACTTTTACTTTATAGATGACTTTGATCGAGGAGGTTCTAGAGATAGCCTGATTCGTGTTCACGATGTGTTCAATTATAACGCTCCTTATAGCTCCATTGTTTCCTCTTTGTAACCACGCGCGATAGTGTTCTTGAATCTTTTTGGATGACAGTCGCATCGAACAACCTATATATCTGGCTCCACAAGACCAGATGAATTCATATGTACACACAGAAGTAGTAAGATGTGAAAATTTCATCTTTCTAGTCTTTAGAAATCGTTGGGTGACAAGCAAATACTAGTCTCAGCGTTGATGCAAAGAATGTTCTACTTAAATTGCTTGGTATCCTCTTTTTAGAGTCTCAGGGGCAGAATCACCTTTAAAGTTTAGATTCACATATAATGTCTTTTTTGGCACGGTGGTGAGGTTGTCTTTGCGAGATTTGGGATTGATGCTTTTGTCTATGAAGCGTGGTGGGGATCCGTTTTCAATAAGAATCTTCGGTAGAACAGAAGTTTCCTCTTCTAACACATCAGGACTACAGATTCGTCTGATGCGGGTTTTGCCTTCGACTTATAGGGACATAGCGCATAGCCGAAGTTCTTACCATTCATATGGAGAAACCTATACTATGCACACAAAAGACTGTTCAACCCCTTCTCCTTTTATGGTCTTAGTTTTCAGTCTTCGAAATCTCCTCTAATCCCCTCTCTTCTTTTCATTTTTCTGTTCTATCACTATTCACTTCTTAAGTAATTTTCTACTCATTCTTTTTGCTGTGCTCTGCCTGACCACAATTCAGTTTCCAATTATATTATCATGTTACAAACTTTTTGTTCAAACTTAGTGTGATTAATATTCACTATTCATCAGGTTTTTAATCTCCGTTTTGATTCAAGTATCCAGACATCTGCATAGGAGGCCATATGCCATTAGAGGTCAAGCAATTTGATCTAGTAAAACAGTAGAGAATTACAAGTATATCAACAAGTAAGTAGTAAAGAGTAAACACTAAAAATTTGTTGACTTAATTTTTTCAATCTTCAGCATATTTTATTGAAATAGTTTTGATGTATACTAAGTTCATCATAAATTCATCCAAAAATAAAGGTTAAACAAGCCCACTTTTACGTATATTCTAAGTCTTGTTTATAAATTTTGCATAATTTACGATCACTATACCAACCATCATTTTATCTTGGAAATAATTGGTTAAAATGTGATAATCCAGAGAAGAAACAATATTAAACATCAACATAGTGTTGCTTAGTAATAACATTCTTTCTATTTTCAAAATAAAATGTAGAAAAACAAATATTTCTAGTAAATTCATCTACTTGAATAGAAATGAAATACTAACGAATTATCTCAAATATGCTATTAACGGATACATTTTCAGCTGCACAAGAAAATTTAATCAAAAATTATGGTACATCAGGTTTATGGTTTGCACATACAACAGATTATTATGAAACACAGCCTAAACCACGTGTACGACTTGATGCAATTGAAATAGCTAATCGTCATAGAAAATGTTTAACAACAGCTGAAATTAGTGGATTTGTTAGTAATAGGACAATAAATGAAAATAACTTTTCAAATGATGAGATAAATACAAATCAAAAACAACAGTTGAGATTAAGAACATTAGAAGCACAATGTATAGCAGAAAAATCAAAATCACAAAGTGATCATTGGTATGATTTTGCTGAGAATTTGAACTACAAACCTGTCATAAAACCACCAAGAATAGGAGCTGGAGAAATTGGTAAGGTAAGTGAATGTTTTTTTTTTTTTTTGAAAAATGACTTAGCACACGATGAATAGATTATAATGATGCATCAAGTTTTGAAATCATTCCACTTTATAAGTGGAATGTAAATCTCTTGTTTAGCTAAATAGTCTTGTTGTTGAGAAACAAGCGCGCCTTACTTTGCAGGACTAAAATTGTAAACTCCCTATTCGATTGTTTATTTGATATAGCTCACATTGATAGAGTATTATTTACTGGATGATGTTTCCAGAAGAATTTACTGCTCATATTCCTGCCAAAGTAATCATACAACTTCCAAACTTCCCTAATATTATAGTCTAGCAGTTCATCATTCTTTTACTTGAATGGTGGCAAACTTTTCCTGTTATCTGTAATATTTGATGAATCCTTCTTGTTACATGTCAGTTGCTGGTTGATTCAATAAACAAAGATTTAGTGATCAATCTCTTCCTCTATCTAGATATTTTGGATTCTAAAACACTCTATCCCACCACCCTATAGTGTAATTTTTGCGTCAGTACATTCAGAACAATAAGCGACTTTTTCTCCAAATGACTTATCTAGCATTCTGTGTTTAGCTGAATTTTTGTACTCTGCTGTCCAAACTGACCTATACACTTGGCCTCACAATAACTACTTGGCATTCTATAGATTAAGGTAATTTGCTTAATTGATTCAGATGGATCTCTTAGCCAACAAAATTTCTCTCTGAGTGAGTTTGTGGGCTTAAATGCTACCCTAATCTCAGTAGCATATTTAGAAAGAATCACTGTCCAATGAATCAACACCTAACACATGCAACAGGAATGATTCATCACATATTATAGTTGTCTGAGAAATTCAGTAACTATTAGAATGAATGAACAAAGAACTTTTGATTCCATTTTAGTGTGTTTATTAGAAATATCACACATTGAAACAGTAGCATTTACTGGATAACGTTTCGGACATAATTTATTGTCCATATTCATATCAGGTAATTCCACAAGCTGAGTCAGTGGTTTAATTTAATGCCGAAAACTAATAATCCCAGTAGAATGTATGGTACTATTAAGATTCATAAGCCAGGTTATCCCATCAGGCCTAGAGTAGATTTTAGAAACACTCCAACTTACGAGTTGTTTAAATATTTAGTAATGGTGTTAGGTCCAATAAGAAATCACTCAAAGTCTCGACTTACCAACTCTTATGACTTAAATCATAGGTTAGACGACATACACTTAGACGATAGTGAAAAAATGGTTAGTTTTGACATAACTAGCCTTTACACAAACATACCGATTGACATGGCCCTGGAGGCAGTTCAAAATGGGCTTAAAGGTGACAACGAACTTACGCAGCGAACTAAGCTGCCGACCGAGGAAATCATACTAGGAGTACGATTATGCCTAACATCTACAGTTTTTAAGTTTTAAAATAAAATATATAAACAAACTGAAGGTGTTGCCATGGGATCACCAATATCCCATATCGTTGCAGACATATTTATGGATAGTTGGGAACAGGTAGCCCTTCAAACATTTAGTCCTACTCGAAGGATATGGTTCAGATATGTAGATGATACGTTTACAGTACTGAAATCGGAACACATCAATAGGTTCTTGGCACATATAAATTCAGTAGTAAATGCAATCCAATTTACCTGTGACTTAGAAAGTGAAGAAGGTGAGCTAGCAATGTTGGATTGCAAGATTAAAAGAACACAAGAAGGAAATCTAGAGACTAGTGTCGATAGGAAACTTACCCATTAGAATCGCTACTTCGACTTCAAATCCTCCCACCCCATTTCAGTTAAAGTAGGCCTAGTTAAATGCTTAGGTGATGGAGCTAAAAAGCTTACTAGTAGATCAGAAAATCTGCGACAAGAATATCCTACGTCTCAATAATTACCCACCAAAATTTATGCATAAATTCATAAGAAATCGAACGAAAAATATTAGCAGTAGTAGTAGTAGTAGTAGTAGTAGTAGTAGTAGTAGTAGTAGTAGTAGTAGTAGTAGTAGTAGTAGTAGTAGTAGTAGTAGTAGTAGTAGTAGTAGTAGTAGTAGTAGTAGTAGTAGTAGTAGTAGTAGTAGTAATCATAATAATGATACAGATGTTGTTAATAATAATCCCACTACTAGTGGTAATAATGGTGACAGGGTTAAGAGAGAAATCAAAGCCTATGCTGTGTTACCATACAAGGAAGGCACCTCAGAAGCACTACGAAGAATTCTCAATAAGGCTGGTTGGGATTAAAGTGGTATTCAAACCAACAAACTCACTTAGAAACAAGCTTTGTCGGTTAAAAGATCCTGTCGATGACATTAAGCAAAATAATCTGGTTTACCAGATTCCTTGCAATGATTGCGAGGTCAAGTATATAGGTCAAAGCAGTCGACCAGGGTCGATTAGAATAACAGAGCACAAAAACTTAGCTATATCAAGATCGGTAGATCCTGATAAGATAAGAAATCTAGAGAAAAACTAGGCTATAGCTCTGCATGCGATGACACACAATCACACAGTAGGGTGGGATAGGGTGACAGTTTTGAAAACTAACTTAGTCGGGTGGAGGGAGAGATTGATAACCGAATCTTTGTTTATCGAATCAATACCAAACACATGCAATCGAAATGATGCTGCACCTGTCCCAGATATATGGAAAATTCTACTACCCTTGTCATCACAGAGAAGGAGATAAAACTAGGAATATATAAAGACTGTCTCGAAGTTGTGGAGTTACCTGATATGAATATGGACGATAAATTATGTCCGAAACGTTATCCAGTAAACGCTACTGTTTCACTGTGTGATATTTCTAATAAACATACTAAAATGGAATTACACTCGACCACAGTGCCCAAGTTTTACACTTATATTAAAGAACTGTTGAACTGTTATATGAGGTGAAGTTTGAAAGTCGCATTACTGCTTTGATATGAAAATAAGCAATAAATTCTACTCGAAACAATATCCAGTAAATAATACTGTATCAGTATGTGTTACATCAAATGCACAATCTAATAGGAAATTATACAATATCACAGTGCTTAGGTTTTGTTCTTACAGTAACTTGTAAACTGATGAAATAACCAGGTTAAATTTCGGAAAACAACACATTGCACTGGATACATCTGTTTCATTGCGGTAATCATATATACTAGTGGGATAGGAGTTTGCAGCAATTTCCACATGATATGTAATAATATCGCTTAGTGTAAAGGGTAAAACATCCAATGAATCCTCCTTCTGACGACTGACAGTAAGTGATATTAGTGTATTGCATTATTGTATATGTAGAGAATAAATTTAAAAAATACCAATTCAGTAAAACTAACACTCCAATTACAATATTGATAATTTATTTATGATTTCCGGTGCTCATTAGTAAAACGCTTCGATATGAAAATTTTCAAAGTTTTACCAGTGGGGCGTGAGAACAAATACTTAGTCATGAAATTGTATGAAGTTTGCTTTATATCGTAAATTGAAAGAAATAGGAAAATATGGACTGTTGAATTTCTACTCAGTTGCTCAAATGTAACGTGCTTGCCAAAAGACGTAAATATTCTGGGTCTGATTCTCGGTGGGGCTGTCGTGCCTCAGTGACCTAGTGGATACGAGGTTTGAGTCCTAGTTAGAGAAACATAACTCACTGAGGTGCAGGTACATCCAGCTGACGAGTCCCTAAGAGGACGAGACATACGTCCTGGATTCCACTGGTAACCACCAAGCAAACTACGACATAATGAATCTCCACTGCATTAAAAAAAAGCAATTCAAAGTGATATACTTTTTTTCCCGGAATATAAAATGAATAAAACTGACTGAGACCGATAGGTGAAGTAGTTTGCGTGATTACTGAGATAAAATAAATTAAGTTAAATTTGTTTTACTGCATTAAGAGATTTTATGTAATATAACTGATGACGCTGTGACTACTGTCATAAAACTGTAATTCTCAATACAGAATGAATGAACAAGGAGTATTCATTCCAGTAACTTCCTCAGGCTCTTTACGTATATATTCATACAGTTTAATTTTATCTTAATAACTCTGAGGTTTCTCATTAACAGTTCGTTAGTAATATAGTTTCAGAATTCTCTTCAGGAACATCTTGTGGGAACGTTAGTGTTATTATCAATTATTACTGGAATTCGGTTCAGAATAGTCGATTACACAAATGGTTACATGTCTTATGTAACATTATATAGTGTGAAGAAAGATATGCTAAGGAAACAGTAGCTAAGTATGTATGGAATTAGGATGCGACAGACAGACATAGGTAATTTGAGGAATATTACTGTATACTATTTGGTGGCTAGCAATGGGATCCAAGATGCTCGTCTTGTCCCATTTTGGATTCAGCCGAATGTACTGGCATCTCAGTGGGTGATATTGTTTCTACTGACACTGGAACCCACTCGAACTTATCGCTTTAGTAAGATGGCACTAATGTAAAGGAACTAAATAGCCTAGAGAATGTGATAAAATGATTTCAGATCATAGAAATGAGGATGTATCTAAATGACGAAAGTTGAAGATAACGTTTCATGTGGCAGGAGGCTTAGTGGCTTACAAATCTCGAAGCAGGTCAAGGTATTTGTAGTGACAATACCTGTTCCTTCTGAACACATTACTAGAGTTGTTTAATCCTAGTTGCTACTCTTCTGAAGACTGAAACATTTAGAACCTTCTGCACTTTGGCAAGCTGACAGGAACCCGGTAATTATTATTATTATTGTTTTATTTGTCTTTTGAGTTCCTAGTAGAACACAGAGCTTCTGTAGCATGTCTCCATTGCACTGTCTTCTCTGCAGTCTTTTGAACCTGGCTCCACGTCTGCCCAGAAGCTTTCATTTTTTCTCACATGACCTCTTCCATGTCACCCTGGGACGCCCAACTCATCGTTTCCCACCTGGGTTCCACTTGAGGGCATGGCATGGTGCATGATGTCCCTAAACTGTCTTCTCAGTGTATGTCCAACCCAATCCATCTCCACTTTCTTCTGCATAT